CGAATATAGCTTATATATTATACACTTAGTAACAATAAAGTAAGCAATAGTAGCAATTATAGAAGAAAATTAGAGAGAGATTGTGATAGACTGATGATTTTGTAAGAAAAATAAAAAAATGAGGGAGTATTTATAGTTGAAAATAGGGAAAAAGTATAATTATAAAAAGTTTGGGGTTAAAACAAAGTTGGGGAGGGGAGAGGGGGTTAAATGGCTATTTTATAAATAGCCAACGACTATTTTTGACAGCCCAACGACTATATTTTAAATTAATTTTTTTTTTTAAAAAGTTGACCGTTGGGACCATTTGGCCCGCTAAGGGGACAGTCCGGTCCCGGTCCCTGGGAGGCCAAATGGTCCCGGTCCTGGCGGGCCCAAAGCATAGGACCGACCCTCTAACGGTCCTGGACGGTTTGGCCTGCGGTCCCGGGCCTAGACCGGCCCACTTTCCAGCCTTACATATAACTACAATATCAATATCAAATACGGAGCAACAATAGCAACAAAGAATAATCACCGAACATGAGAAGATTAGAAGAAAATCATTAAAATCGTAGCTATTGCTCACGATTTCAAATATGGAACTACAAGACTCCAAATCATGTACTTTTAATGTTTACTCGAAGATCAAGATATTGAGAACACCCAGTTGAATTTTTAGCTTAATCTGATACGAAACAAAGGGGGAATTACAATTTGAAGATGACTGCTCAAGCTGATTTGTTTGCAGAAAAATCTGCATTTTCTCTATGTTGTGTTGAAATGGCTACTATTTCTCTCTCTTACCCTCCAAATTAAGACCTAAATATTAGATCTTTTAGTTGTCTTAGATATTAGTGGGTTTGTAAAATATAGGCTGGTCCAATGAGTATTTATTTATCTACATAGGAAAAAAGAAGACTCAAACCCAATAATTTTTCCCCTTCCGACTATGTGGAGGAGACTGTTATCCCGACGATCAAATAACATTCTTCAAACTTTGTTTTGGCAAAGATTTGGTGAACATGTCAGAACCATTATCATCCGTATGAATCTTCTCAAGTTCAAGCAACTTAGAATCGAAGACATCTCAAATCCAATAATGTTCACATAAATATGTTTAGACCTATCATGAAATATAAAACTCTTGCCAAGATAAATATTATTTTGGTTGTCACAATAAAGCACATACCTCTCTTGAGCAAAGCTAAGTTCCCCTAGAAATCTCTTCATTTGGAATAACTCTTTACAAGTTTCAACAAAAGCAATAAGCTCAACTTCTGTGGTAGATAAAGCAAAATATTTTACAACTTAGATTGCCAAGATACAGTTCTCCCTGCAAAAGTAACCAAATAGCCTGAAGTATACTTGTGAGTATCAATACCACCTATCATATATGCATTAGTATAACCACAAAGAATAGGTTTCCTTGTCCCAAAATATAAACTCAGACTAGAAGTACCATAAAGATATCTCATTATCATCTTGATCGTGTTCCAATGCTCTCTTCTTAGATTAAAAAGAAAATGGCTAGTAATACCAACAACGTGAGCAATATTATGTCTTGTACAAATTATTGCATACATCAAACTACCAATAGCTAAAGCATAAAGAACTTTCTTCATATCGTCCTTCTTATCATCACTGGAAGGATACTTCATACTTAATTTAAAGTGCATAGCTAAAGGTGTACTGACAATCTTAACTTTATCTATGTTGAACCTGCAAAGTATTTTCTAACTCTACTTTTCTACATGCCAAGAATCTGCCTTGTTGGTCCTAAGTTATTCATAGCAGAATACTTATTCAATTTTAACTTCAACTTTTGAATTGTATAAACATTATGACCAACAATAAGTATGTCATCAATATAAGCAATAAAATAATAAAGTCATCATCATAGACTTTTTACTCAAAAATCAATAGTCTGACGAAGTCTTCTTGAAGCCGTGTTGACTTATAAAAGAACCAAACTTCATGTACCCCTACTTGGGAGCTTGTTTCAAATCATACAAGCTCTTCTTCAATTTGCAACATACTTTTCTTATCCCTTGACTTAGAAACCTTCTGGTTGTTGCATGTAAGATCACACTGGAGAAAAGCAGTTTTAACATTCATTTGTTTCACTTCAAAATCAAGATTTGCAGCTAAGCCTAGAACCACATGAATGGATGACATCTTCGAAACTGAAGAGAATATCTCATCAAAATCAGCTTTTTTTTTTATTAAGTCTTTTGACAACTAATCTAGCTTTGTACTTGATAAGTGGGGATTTTGACTACTTATTAGTACCTTTTTAGATTTTATTTTAGTCCAAAAGCATTTAATTATGTCCCTAAAAACTGATGAAATGTGCTTAATTTCAGGAATATTGAAAGATGAACTCCCGCAGATGAAATCCAACTCAAGGAGTAATCTGAACTCAAGGACAAAAGGCACAAGAGCTCAGAAGTGCGGACCGCAGAATATCATCTACGGCTGCAGGTTATGAAGGAAAATCCATCAAAGACTAGTACAAAGTACGGTCAACACATGAATTGTGTGGCCGCAGAAGCCGGGTCAGAGCAAAGTTCAGAGAATCTGCAATTCAAGTCCATCAAAAGTGCGGACTGCACAATTATTGTACGGCCGCAGAAGAAGAGCTATGCGGTCGCAGTTACAATTGTGCGGACCGCAGAAGAGCAAGATGCGGCCGCAGTTACAAATCTACAAACCGCAGAAAGAGTGTATGCGGCCGCAGTTCAGAATTATGCAGCCGCAAATTTCCAATCC